TTTTCTAATTTTCATTTTTCAAATTCAAAATATGATAAACATCTTTATCAGATTTCTAAAAGTTCCAAGTAGTTTCCTTAAATTCTAAAGTAATCGAAGAAGAGCTCGTAAACGGATTTAACTTACTTCTTTTTTTTTTTTTTTTTTCAAAACAAATTGTACATCTTTCTTGCTTAGCTGGATGATCTTCCGAAATTATACTTAATTCATTGTTTAAAACCTTTTACAATACTTAGTAATCTGAATTTATTTCCCATACTTCCCATATCACGTACAAATGTTTCCTTTTTGAACAACATTTTAATGAGATTTCTGACATCAGCTGGCGTTTCACTCGTTTTTGTTATCATTTCGACAAAAAGAGATAAAAGATTCATGCAAGCAAATTGTAAAAAGTCAAAAACAGTGAATTACGTTAACGTTTATTGCTATGGTAGCAAAAAAATGCATACAAGAAGAAAACTGAAAGTTTTTTAGTAGACTAATATTTTTTTCCTTTAGAATTTTTAGCGTGTTTAATATTTTAACAAAATTAACTTATCACATATGCAGAAAATATCTCTAGCATTTGATTAGCTCTATTGTTTTGACATGCATTACAAGCAAATTTATAAGTTAATTAACATAATATAAATTGGCTTAAAATTTTTATATAGATGTATGGATACTTTTCCCACATTGTATGTTTATGGTACCGTGAAGTAAGGTAATTTACGGAAGTTTTTTGGAATTCCGTTAAGGACACTTTTAACGTCAAATATAAGTTTTGAAGGATATATGTTTTTCCGTTAAGGAGACTTTTAACGTCAAATATACGAAATAGGAGAACTGATCCCGGAGCTCTTCACGGATTCTGTGGAAATGAAAGAGCTGATTTCTTAGCTAAAAATCCCTTAAATTTACCCATTTATATCAATATTAGTATTCCAAAGAGCTACTGGAAGTCCTTTCATTATAAGAAGCTTTTAGCTAAGTGGAATGAGAAATCTATTTCATCTAGTAATGCTGAGGGCACCAAGAAGTTTATTCTTTCTGTTTACCATAGATTGCATTACAAGTCTTTCCGCTCTATTAATTTTAAGTTTCTCACTTTTTATCTGGTCACTTTAAATTTGCAAGTTACGTATTTCGTTTATATCTAAGATCAAATAATTTATGTGAATGTTTTAAAAACGTACCGCGAGATGTGGAACATTTGATTTTTTCATGCCTTACCTTTAATGGCCTTGCAGAATGGTTTGAAAATGTTCGGCGTGACTTGTCCAGTGAACTTATCTGTTTTCGTGAAGTCCAGACTGCTGTTCTCTGTTTTTGTTCGTTTTACATATGCATGTAATATTTAATGTTTTAGTAAATTTACTTTTGTAAGCCCCGTGTTGTCCATCTGTGGTGCACAGGAAATTGTATGTGTTCAATATACACGGGTTGGACAAAAATATGGAAACACCTTTAAAAAAACATGTTTCTTTGCTTAATATGGTGTAGGAAACCCGTTGGCATCCAAAACAGCTTGCAGTCTTCTCGGAATGGATAAATACAGTTCCTGTATGTTTGCCAAGGGAATATTATACCATTCTTCCTGCAAAACGGTGGCAAGTTCAGATAACGATGTTGGCGGTGGATAACGAGAACGCACTTTCCGTTCCAATGTAGACCACAAAGGTTCGATAATATTCAGGTCTGGTGACTGTGGTGGCCAGGGGAGATGGGACAACTCATCCTCGTGCTCAGAAAACCAGTCCTGGACAATGTGAGCTGTGTGAACAGGGGCTTTGTCGTCTTGGAAGACACCATCACCATCGGGGAACAAAGTTTGTACCATGGGATGAACTTGATCGGCCAAAAATGTTCACATAAGTCTTGGCAGTCATGTGCCCTGACACAGTTATCATGGGGCTAGCAGAGAACCACGATATGGCCGCCATGTTTCACTCTTGGCAACAAGCAGTCTGTATTATAGGCTTGAGATGGCGTTCTCCTCAGACGTAAACTCGGCCAGAAGTGGGAAAACAATGTGAAAGAAGACTCGTCAGACCATATTACTCGCTTCCACTGCTCTATAGTCCAGGCTTTATGACTTAAACACCACCTTTTCCTGTTACGGGCATTAGCATCACTGATGAGTGGCTTCTCAATTGCAGCACGGCCAGCAATTCCCTGTTTATGAAGCTCCCTTCTAATTGTTTTGGTACTCACAGGGTTCGGTAACACAACATTCATTTCAGCAGTAACTTTTGCAGCTGTGGTCTTCTTATTTTTCGTCACAATTGCCCTTAATGATCGTCTGTCACGATCACTCAGGACACACTTTCGTCCGCGCTGTGATTTAGCAGATGATGTTTTTCCGCTTTTCAAATATGCGGAATAAATCTTCGATACAGTACCTCTTGAGACACTAAACAATTCGGCTACCTTGCTTACGGAAGCACCTACCATACGTGCTCCAACAATTTGCCCACGTTCAAAGTCTGTTAACTCTGACATAATGCAATGACAACCTCACATAACAGTACTCCGACAACAACTGAACTGTTTAGCACATTTACGAAGTTGAGTTGTCTAGGTGGCGTCAGTAGTCAAAAACGCCAGCGCCACCTACATATTTCATTAAAATCAATCTTTCTTTTCAAACATGCATTTCACAAAGTGTTTCCATATTTTTGTCCATCCACTGTATATCCGTTTTATATTTTGCTGATAAAATTAAAATCATTAGTATAAACTATTGAAAACTTTTATTTTAATTCATAGTTGTTTGAGAGTTACAATGTTTTTAATAAAATTTTATTAGTATAACAGTAATTTTCGAATATTATTTTAATATCTTTTTGTATGTTACTTCGAACAGTACTAAAATTTTGAGAAGTATCAATATTAGACTTAAAATGTACATTAAATAAATTTGTTTAATTCTAAATATCCATTTGCTATTCCAAATAAGATATAAACAAAGAAAGGCATTTTAATTTATATTTATTTTGTAAGCTGAGTGAATGTATAGCGTTAGTCAAAGATAACACTAAATAATAACACTAAATACTAAAATGGAGCGGGACTTCAAAATGGCATTTTGCCATGTTTTTTATTCAACATTTGGCACAAGCATCTCTGTTTTGAATGTTCTGGTAAAAAAACAGAATGTAGAATTTCATGTGTTGTAACTATCAGTAATTAAGCAAACTAGAAGTGGTAGGGTTCTTTAAATTGTGCGATTGTCTTGGAATTATACAGTGTCTCACAAAAGTGATGGGACACTTGTGCTTTACAAAAGGAAACTATAGTAAAATAAATTAAGAAAACATGTACAAATTTTTTGTGGGTGTGTTTCATACTTAAATTTAGTAACAATTATTACATAACATACATTTTCTCAAAATATTAAAACATTAATTTAATAAAAATATAATTGTTTAGAACGGAGCAAAAAATGGCTCACATAAGTGATGGGACGCTTACTTTTCCATCAAATATTTATCAAAAAATTTACTTTTTAAAAGGTTTTAATATTTTGTTGGATTTCCTTTTACTTTTAAAACATGATTTAATCTTCTTGAAATGGATTCGACTAATATTTTTTTTTATTTATTTATTTATTTCTGGAGTGATTTTACCCCATTCTTCGTGAAGCACCGATTTTAATTGTTGTTTTGAAGAAATGGTGTTTTTGCGAATTCTTGATTCCAATTCTTGCCAAATATTCTTTATGGGATTTAAGTCTGGAGATTGTGGTGGTGTTTTTATTTCAGGGTAGTTATACAGCAGCCAGAGTCTAACGTTCAAAGCAATGTGCTTGGGGTCATTGTCCTGGTAGAATTTAAAATCGTTATGAAGGTTCAATTTTCGTGCTGAAGATTTCAAATTTTGATTTAAAATGTCAATATACTTGTACCGATCCATTATACTGTCAATAAAAACAAGATTACGACATACACTCCCATACCATAACTCCTCCTCCAGCATTTTTTACTGTTGGCACCAAGTTCTGTTTTACGAAATTCTTCCCTGGGTTTTCTCCACAACCAGGATTCTACCGTCAGAACCAAATATATTAAATTTACTCTCATCAGCAAATATAACTTCATTCCAATAATCAGAATTCTTATTTTTGTTGGATTTTGCGAAAGCCAGTCTCAGTTTTCTATTCTTTTCACTTACGAAGAATTTTTTCCCGGCTGCTCCACCGTGATATCCAGCAGATCGAATTACTCTTCTAATAGTCTCAGGTTTAACAATTACTCCATATAATTCTTGTAAATAAGCAGCAACTTTAGGAGCACTCATTCTTGGAACGATATATCGCTTTATTCCATTGGATAGCTTTGATGGTCGGCCTGGTCTTCTTTTATCCTGAATCATATGATTCTTTTTATATCGTTTAATGATCTTGAAAACTGTTCAATGACTCAACTTAACTGTTTCAGCAGTTTTTCTTATAGATTTTCCACGTTCAATATGCAAATTAATAACTAATTTTTGAACTTCAGGCAAAGTTTCTTTTCGTTTAGCATTCATGGCTGCACAGAGCTAAAAAAACACAAAATTCCAAAACAACTGGAGAGAAATACTGCAGACGATTTTATAATTATTACCAATTGCTTTTGAGTAAAAATAAAAACCCAAAAAAATATTTTTATTGTAGTACGTAGTAGTATCTAATGGTGTCCCATCACTTATGCGAGCCATTTTTTGCTCCGTTCTAAACAATTGTATTTTTATTAAATTAATATTTTAATATTTTGAGAAAATGTATGTTATGTAATAATTGTTACTAAATTTAAGTATGAAGCACACCCACAAAAAATGTTTACATGATTTTTAATTCATTTTATTACAGTTTCCTTTTGTAAAGCACAAGTGTCCCATCACTTTTGTGAGACACTGTATTTGTGTTTCTGCCTTCACTAGTTTATCTTCAACTATGGTGTTCGCTTGAAATGATAAATCACTGTTTCTACCAAATATCATTAAATAACAGTTTTAGAGTTTCATTTTGGTTTTAGGAAGCGGGTCCATCATCTGAGGAGCTAAAAGATTTTCTAAAAGACTACGTCGAAGATATATTATCAAGAGCCATGGTAGTTGCAGAAAAAGTAAGCATTAAGTAATTTTCTAATTTGCATTTAAATATCGTCATGATGCAGATTCCTCAAAGTACCGTATAGCCAATGTTCGTTAGAACGACCATTTTTTAATAGTGATTATTCCATTACAACGACTGGACACAAAACTTCTTCAACTGATGATAGTATCTTAAATCCACTTTCGTTATAGCGACCACTCATCAAACGTCTTTTTCCTGTAGGACGCAAATGAACGTTATAACGAGCGTCGACTATATGTTCAACCATTAGCATTAATTATTTTATTCAAATTAGTTATTAAATTATTGATTCGAATTTTTCAACAATTAGCATTAATTAATTATTCAAATTAACTAATAAGCTATTGATTCGAGTACAGTAGGCATGTTTGTTCAACTATTACAATTAATTACATTATTCAAATTAGCTAATGAATTATAGATTCGAATAAACCAGACATGATTTTCAACTATTAGCATTAATTACATTCTTCAAATTAACTAATAAACTATTGATTCGAATAAAGTAGGCATGTTTGTTCAACCATCAGCATTAATTACATTATTCAAATCAATTAATTATTGATTCGAGTACAGTAGGCATATTTGTTCAACCATTAGCATTAATTACATTATTCAAAATAGCTAATAAATTATTGATTCGAATAAAGTAGGCATGTTTTTCAAGCATTAATTAGCATTAATTACATTATTCAAAAAACTAATAAATTATTGATTCCAATGAAGTAGGTATGTTTTTCAACCGTTAGCATTAATTACGTTATTCAAATTAGCTAATAAATTATTTATTCGAATAAAGTAGGCATGTTTTAAATTATTGATTCGAATAAAGTAGTCTTAAAAACAACTCACCGAAAAAAAATCGCAAACAAATTTAGTTAGAACAAAACCCACAGTTAAGTTTTTAAAATAGTAATTAGCTAGAGAAAAACTGTTCACTACGAAACAAAACTAATCGGATAAATCAAAATTTTAAAATTATTTAATTTGAATTCATTTCTTTGAATTTAAAAATAAAATCTATCTTTAAAAAAAATTATAAAATATTTCTCAGTGCGATCTTTTATTATACTTCACTGAAGGGAAAAACTTGCTAATAAAAAAAAATCTGAACACTTTCAGATTTTATAATACGCCTAAACGGGAGTTTCTTTAACGTTTAGTGTGTTACCTTTGTTTATTAAATATCATGTTCTTCGCAATTAAGCCGTAAAATTCTATTCAACAGCAGTATCACAAAATAGTTTAAAAAGAACATATCTTTATATTTCCGTTTCTCGCGCATTGTTTTTTTTTTTTTTTTCGTAGTGTTGCCACTGCTGCTTTGAAATCGTTTAATTTATTAATCAAAAATTCGTTAACGTTTTACGAAATGTGAAATAGATAATAAAACTTGGTTTTACTAACAAATTTGGACTTTCAGATGCCCATATTCGGGTGGAGGACTGCGTAATTCAAAATTTGATGTCTCTAGGTACCTTTGTTTTTTCATAGTGCAGAAAACGTACATTCATTCATGCAGATTCTTCACCATTTAATTTCTTTAAATATAATGCGGGCCTGTAATAGTTGGTGACAAAAATGTTAAAAGTGAAATGCTGTTTGTAGTAAACCAATCGAAAATGCTGTTTGTAGTAAACCAATCGAAAATGCTGTTTGTAGTAAACCAACGGAAAATGCCAAAACTAAATTAATAGCCCTTCTAGGCAAATTGCTTCTATCGTCTAACAATTAAAGGATAAAAACTGAAAGAAATTAATGATTTCTCTGTGCTTACAATCTGGTTAGTGTTACATCATTTTGCTTCTGTATTCAGATCTTTCAAGTGAATCTGAAAATAATTAACTAATGTTAGCTGATATTTTTTTTTCAATAGAAACTTCAGTTTGCTGGTATCGATGATGAGGAAGAAGAAGAAGAAGGAGAGGAAACAGACGGAGCAGGGCCGGAAGCTTCGATATCAAAAGCAGAAAACGACGAACCTAATGATTCTGAAATTCGAGCTGCGGCCGAAAAGGTCGTAGAAGAAGTGATTTCGAAAGCTACAGAAACGGTCGCAGAACAAATGGAGAAAGACACATCATCCCTCACGTTCCCGGTATTCAATTGCTATTGTTTTCCTTTACTGATCGCTTTGTTTTTTCTTCAAAATATGTCTTTTCTAGAAGAGTAGCACATTTATTTTTTATATCACGACGTATGTTTGTAGAATTGAGAATGAAACTCCATAAATCTGGCTTTCGTTTTAGAAATGTTAATAAATTAGTTGTTAAATGTCCTCTAAATTAAGCCTTGGTATACTGATATTACTCAGAAGGCTACATTTTATATTTCTAGAATTAATTCGAATTTTTATGTGTATGATATTGTACTTCTGCTAACAAATGAGTGAAAATTGCCAATTTTAAGAAAAATTTCTTTAATAGTATAAGAATTTTTTATTTTTTGTTTCATTTTATATGTTTATTTTTGGCTAATGATAGCATATTTTGGCTAATGATAGCATATTAGACCCATTAGTTTGACTGCTGCTACTCCATTACAATTTTCTAAACATCAGAATAAAAAAATTAAAAAAAAAAAAAAAATCTGAAATGTTTCAGATTTTAAATTACGTCCAAAGGGGCGTTTTTAAACATTTTGTGTGTTACCTTTCTTTATTAAATATCATGTTCCTCGCACTTAAACCATAAGATCCAGTGCAACAGCAATATCGCAAAATAATTTTCAAATGAGCATATCTTTAGAATTTCCAGATACAGAGTCTCACGCGCTGGAGATAAAAATGTTCTCTTTCCTGTACAACGTGTTGCCATTGCTCGCTTTGAAGTCCTTGAGTTTGTTAATCAAAAATTCGTTAAACTTTTACAAAATATAGGAAATCGATCAATAAAACAAATTTCTAAATTTCCAAATTTGGGATTTCCAGATGCGCATATTCGGGTGGAAACGATTACGTTATTCAAAATTCGGATGGCTCTATGGTACCGTTGTTTTATCACAATACGAGAAATATACATACATTTATGCAGATTTTTCATTATTTAATTTCTTCAAATATAATGCAGGACTCTAACATTTTGTGGCAACAGTTTGAAAAGTGAACCGACATTTATCCGTCCGACGCAAAATGCCAAAACGAAACTAATAGTCCTTCGGGATTCAAATCCCTTTGGACTAAAAATTATTTTTTGGTTTCTTAATTTATATAAAAGTTACATTCGCAATTTATATATGTGTATAAAATGTATGCGTATATAATTGAAAAAATATGTAAATCAAAATTATAACCTATAGTTTGCAATAGTCCATTTCAATGTGTTAATGCGCTCCCCCCCCCGTCCTAAAAAAAGTAATTTCTTATAATAAATCACTCTAAACTGCGTCATCTCAAAATTAATCTTTCTTGCGTTACACATGTAAAATACCAAAATATGAAATCATATGTATTACCAAATTAAACTTAATTGGAACGGTCCTTTAAATTCTTAATTTTAATTGCATAATTCCCTTTTCAAGGCTCCATATTACATCATGTTACAACACACTTTCTCTCCAATCGCAGTGCAAATAATAACAGTCGCAATGCAAATAATAGAGCAATAAGACCTTTTTGCTTTCTTATTTTTTGCGTATGTGCTGTAATACCGCTTTCGATTATCTTGGAGAATTTCTCCTTTTTTTGTTCAAAACTCTGCTTACTGCATGGCAACAGAAAAGCAGTTTTCCTTATTTTGGTATTCATGAAGTCTTTGCCTCTAACTTAATCATTTCTAGCTGTTGTGTTTAAAATACAGCTATGTGGCTTTTTCTTTCATTTGAGGCTGTTGTAGTTTAATGGCCAAGATAGTGAGGATTGATTAAATACAAATTTTCATGCAGTATGTAAAGCGAAATACCTTTACTGTGTAAGACAAAAAAAAATGTACACTTATCTTCAAACATATCATTTTCCAAAATCTTGCCTCTTTTGAGCTGCTGAGTAACTCAAATTTCCAGAACTCATCAGGCTGTTCAGTCTCATAAATGATGCTCGGAATTGAGTTGATGCTATATTTGCTATATTTATGAAGATGTAATTTATTATTTTATGCAGTAACTGGATTGTGCCTCTAGAGTTAACTAAAAGCACAATAATTTTAAAACTTTTTCCTGTTTTTATTATGAATGCAACTTTTACTGAATAGAAAATGCCTGTTCAATGCTTCAGATTCATCACTGCGGCCGAATCTGTCAGTGCAGGTGCTGCTTTGATTAATTACCATCTTCCTGCCCTCGATCATATTAGAACTAGAGTTCCTAAATGATTAATTTATCTTGCTGAACTACCGGAAGTCCAATTTAAGCTTAATATTGAGGGTAGTGAAAACCAGAGCAACATTAGGTCCCTTTTTATGATGTTACTACAACAGGATCGATATTTGTATGTATTTCACATGTATTATTTTATTTAATTACTTTGAAACCGAAGTGAAATTTCATAAATTCTAGTTGTGTTTCTTTGTATTAATGTTGGTATAAATTAAAATTTTATTTTTATATTTTGAGCAAGCTAACAAATCACCTGAGATAATTAAGAGCAGCTTAAAGAAAGCAAATCATACCTCATTGTCCCTGCTAATGCACAAAAGCAAAGAGTTGTAAATTTGTAACTCAATAACGCAAGCAACAGTAAACCGATCAACTCTAAATTTTTACATATTAAGTACGCAGTTACTTTAAACATCACAAAGTATTTCTCCCGCCTTCGTTGCATGCCTTCGTAGTGTAGTGGTCAGCACGCTCGAACGCGTATCCGAGAGACCCGTTGTTCGAGTCCCTGCGAAGGCGTTGCTCATTTTTCATCTCTCCTGCTTCGAAATAACCTAATGCCTCTACAGTGGCACCCGAACTAAGACGGTGGTGGGTGGTGATTCTCCACCACCAGGATTTCGCGATTAGGTCCTCTAATCCCCAGTCTCTCTTTGAAAGGGAGAGTATATAGGGTATTTCTCCCGTTTTCTTAGCATTCCGTCGTAGTGTAGTGGTCAGCACGCTCGACGCGTATTCGAGAGGCTCTTGGTTCGAGCCCCGGCGAAGGCGTTTCCCATTTTTCATCTCTCCTGCTTCGAAATATCCTAATGACTTCACAAAGTTATTTTAAAGTTCGATGGTGCTTTAATGATAAGAACACATTTCGCTCCTCTTTTCTGTATATGGTATCTGTTTCTTACTTATAACGTGATGAGATATATGTGGAACATGAACTAAAGCACGGTGAAATCGCTCTGTTCTCCCATGTTTTTTTCTGCCATGCGTGCTATCGTGGTGCAAGTGGTTAGCATGTGCAGTTTGCATTGGAAAATTGGTGGTTCGAACCTGGTGAAGGCGCCAATAAGTTTTCCCGTTACGTGCTCCCAAAGTCTTAATGGGTCTGTAAAGCATGATGCCACCCTCTCTCCTCCTTAGTAACTAACTTACTGTTGTTTTCATTCTAAAAAAATATATATTACAGCTTTTAGAAGCTAAAGCGTATAATTGAAGATTATATTATCGATGAGTAACACTTACAAGAATATAAAAGCATGCTCTTTATTTTGGTTAGGACTTTCGAAGTTCTTAGTGTACTAAAATGAAAAGATTTCATTGCGTTCGTAAAGGTTTTCAGTCCGTTCGTTTATTACAATAAGAGTTGCATAGTTGTTTGACTGCGTCTGAAAATGTCATATACGTGTACTGTTTATACGCTTTTCCCAAAATCTGATGCAGGGCATGAGAAAGCAACGTGCTATGCTATAAAAATGAAAAATCTGATGTGTACACCACATGACTTCCTTGTACAGAATATTAAATTATGCGCATTTTTTCTTGCATTTCATTTAAATTTATTAGATTGAATTAAATCTACTTCGCCGACAGCGCATAAACCACAATAGAATAAATGCATTCTTTAAAATTAACTTTAGTTTTTACCATAGCGACACTCTGGCGCTAGGTTCACTAACAGTTAACAGTTAACTTATACTAATCGTTATAATCCAATATTATATAACAGTTAACTCAGTTCAATGCACAAAATTTATATCATTTAAAGAATTAGATTATCTAATCGTTGCCACATGTTCTATTCAAATACTATAATAAAGCTAGAATGATGTATAAAAGAAATTAAGCAAAAAAACAAAAAGAAAGAGAAAAAAATGAAAATACTCAATCGTCAGTTTTTCACAGACGATTGAGTGTTTCTCATTTAATTAATTCAGTTTCACTTCGCGAGAAGGCAAAAATACATAAAAACTCAAAATATCTATATTAAAAATTACGAAGTAAATTTTAAACGCTTATTTCCTCGAAAAATTCCAGAAAGGATTAAGCATGATTTAAATAATAAATGAAGGCGTTATCTTTGTTGTTGCGAAGCTAAGTTTCTCTAGATTGGCAACAAATCCACTAGTCTCCTGTTTCAAATGTAAACATCAAATGGCCGCCATTAAAAAAGGCTTAGCGGCAATTAAATTTTAAAATTGCTGATAATTCTAAAAATATTGCACACAGATTTACTAAAGGCATAAAATCCTTAACCGGAAGATAAAACAACATAATTCAATATTTTTAAAGCAAAAAATGTACAATTTACAAACATATAAGAGTAAAGAAACTGAGATTACTGAGCCGGGTAACATAGTGGATATATATATAAATATATTATAATTTATATACGTTTGGTGCGGCCGATTGCACCAAAATACGAGGTGCACATCTAAATGTTTATAGCAGTCCTATATACAAGATTTCAACGTTCTGAGGCTACTCGTTTTTGAGTTATGCGAGATACGTACGTACGCATGCACGTACGTACATACGTTCGTACAGACGCGACGAAAAATTCTCTTCAGAATTAATTTTAAAGCAGTTTTATAATTTTTTTGAAGGAAAAGAGTATTTTATTCTGTCCTTACGTACAGATATCGCGGAAATACATCGTTAAATTGCATTTGAAAGAGGTCAAAATGGGATATTTTCGTTGAAATATGCTGCCTGAAACTTTTCGCGATAACAATACTTCCTTTTTACTTCGTACAAGGAAGTAAAAAGCAGCTCTATCTGTCGGAGTCATTCAAGAATTGAGCAGTAAGAACTGATTGAATCTAAGAAATTACCGATCAAACTTATATTTGAGAATATTTGCCTTGCTATCTGGTCTCTTTCCTATTCCGGTAAGATGATACTGATTGAAGTAAAGCCGTATATAATGCGTGACATGACATAAAAACATGACTGTAAATGTTACAAAATAGAAACTTTAAAAAAAATGGAAAAAAAGAAAGAAAGAAAGAAAGAAAAGAAATCTGAAAGTTTTCAGATTTTACATTACGCTCAAAGGAGCGTTTTCTTTCATTTACATGCATACATGTTTCGAGAGCATTTTGGCTAAAAATATTTAAAAAAATTATATCTTTAGAATTTCCGATAGATGCTGGTGCGCTGGAGATATTTTTTTTTTTCCATACAGTGTTGCCACTGCTGGCTTTGAAATCGTTGAGTTTTGTAATAAAAAATTCGTTAAAGTTTTACAAAATATGAAATAGACAGTAAAAGGAATTCCAAATTCAGGTGGGAAATCCTAGGACCCGTTCCCTCCTCCCCCGAGGTGCTCTCCATCAGAATTGGGAGCGGAACTTAGCTAAATCGTACTGTTATGATTACTTATATGAACTTAGCTAAATCGTACTGTTATGTATGTTAATCGTTATGACTGTATTCATATATAAAGTGCTCAAAGCTGTTGCCAACGACAGGCATAAAGTTGCGCTCCTTGCCAGCAAGATTTTCGTGGGATTGGGCTGACTATAGGTTAGACATGTGAGCATTAGCAACAAAAACAGCAACATTTCATTCATCATATTTATTACGTCACACGTCATACATTATCTCAGTGGACGCAGTTATATGCAATATAGAGGCATTACAAATGAAAAATACACATAAACATGCATTTTTTCCAAATAGCGCCGTTTTCCTAGCTCGGCTGCTAGCACTATTATTAAAAATTCTAACATTTTTAATAATACTATGATTTTATTCTGTTTTCCTGAAAGGAAAGACAGTATTTGTTTTCATTTGGAGCCTATTTAAATAATATAGGATTTACGTACGCATTCTTTAAAAATTCTTTCTTTGTCATTGAATTAACTATTTTAAAAATGAAATTTAACCAGTTAATTGTGATTGACGAGTATACTCGTTATGAAGAAGTGACACGATTTTGTGTATTAACGAGTATACTCGTCATGCGTATATTATGTTAATGAAATGGAAAGATAAGAGGGAGGTTTATTTAGTAAGTACTGTACATAATGATAACGTAATAGAAACAGAGAAAAGAAAAATAATAACAAAGAAATCGGAGCTAGTGATTGATTATAATAAAAAAATGGGTGAAGTAGATATGAGCGATGGAATTATCATAGCGTACTCCACAGCAAGAAAATGACCTATAAAATACTACAAAAAGATATTTCTCCATTTCTTAGACATTGTATGTCTGAATGCATTCATATTATAGAAAAAAAATAATGGAACATTATTGCGTATCAACTTTTTGCTCAAATTTATTCAAGACACTTTTGCGACATATCCAATTGAAGGAAATAAATCGACACAAACTCGGTCATTTACACCTAATATACGCCAATTAGGCGGGAATTATGTTAAAGATTATATACCAGGTACATTAAAAAAAATAAATAAATAAATAAAAGAAAGAAAAGAAAAGAAAAGAAAACCTACGCGAAGGTCTTCGCATTGCTACAAACGTAAGACCATCGGAAGGAATCGCGTTACTGATGTTCGATTTGTAAAGTCCAGTCCCATTCTGTATAGTACCCTGTTTCGCTGAATATCACTCCACTCCACAGCAAGAATTTAAATCCTTACTTTTATATGTATAATATTTAATTTAATTTATGGCGTTTTTAGTTTAATATGTATGTAATATATGCTTATGTTAACCAAATAAGTAAATATTAGTAATAAAATTTTCAATTTTATAAAATAAACCCATCCTTCTCATCCAATATCTTACCAGCGCAACTTAATCTGTGATTAACGAATATACTCGACATGGCTCGATTCTGGCGACACAAAACGGTGCGCACTCTTAAACGAGAGCGTCACAGTTAACTGGTTAAATAAAAATGCATTAATCTGCTTCAGGTTATTCTTGTTATTGATAATTTTGTATCTATTTAATCTTTATAATGTGCTACGTAACATATATATGATGACTTTTTTCAGTGACTAAGGAAATCCATTTCTTAGGTAGTAAATTATATTGCATGAATTATATGTGCATATTATAGTTTGCTGAAAAAAAAATAGGCATGCAATTATTTTATTGTGAAGCTTCGTGGAATCGGTGTTAAGCAAGTGCTGAAACCAACACAAACGTTAATAAATGCAGATGTTATATTTGTTTTATTTTTATTTAAATTTTATATATGTTTTTAAACGAGTCACTAGATATAATTCATTATAAATGAACAATGTTCCGCATGTGCATGGTTTGTAATAGCATGTAGAAATCATTTATACTATAGAATGGAGTTTTCAACATAAAGTAGGTATTTGCTATTTTAGCTGATAAAAGTTGCTATTTGCTACTTCATGTTGAAATGCTACTTTATGTTCAAATGATTTGTTACTTTATGTTCGAAGGATTTGGGATGCACTTTTAGTAGTTTAAAAATTAATTACAACTTTTGCCTGCATGATATATTAGCAGCAAACGGCAGATTCTTAGTATTAAAAGACGTGAATTCCTTAAACTCAATGCTATTATTTGTGATCGCATTCCTTAGTCGACAGTCTCATTTCCTCCAACATTTGCTCCTTTTGATGTTGGCATGGATATATGCATGATATAAAGCCGCCTGAAAGTCATCAATGCATGTCTGAGATTTCTGAAAGAAAAACCAACCAAACGTATGTGGCTGAGCAAAAGAAATAAAAGTGTGATCTTTAGAAGCAGCAACTGAAAACCGATTACCTTTAGGGCCTTCCAAGTATCCAGATCGATACGGTGAAATCTGCGCCCCCCAGCCCAGAAAGTGAAGAAGAATTGCCTCAGCCGCAAAAGAAATGGACTTTTACGATGCGTGATGACGAACCAGAAAAGACAGAAGAAGAGGATACTGCGGAGGTGCCGGAGACAAAGGCATCTATGGTATAAGACATGATCCGCATTAAATAAATAAACAGTGCATTTTAATTTGATTTGTATTTTCATCCATTTAGAATTCCAGACATTTAACGGTGATTTCATTTGGCAACTGTTAAGGAAGTTGATATATTGGGTTTTACCCTAAACGGCAAATCGAATTGCCACTAAAATGCTGCCTTATTCAATTAGGCATAAAATCAACCAAGTAAAAACTCAGTTACATATTTCCTGGAAGATAGGCCATCAGTCTATTTTTGACGTTGATGGGAAAAGTACTTTAATTTGGGATCATAAACTTGTGCATGCCCTTAAAACCTTAAATCAATATATGTAAAAAAAAGAACACACTAAGTAATTAAGTGTTTAAAGTATCGAATAATAAGCAACCAGAACCGGCGTAAACTGATTAAATTTTCTGGTATTTATATCTATTATTCCGCTTGCTTCACCTCTCAATGGGCACTACAGGTCAGTCATGTCATCCTGGTCGTACCACCAGCAGCCTTTTTTGGTTATTTATCTTTTCAACCATAATATTAATAGACATATTTAACATTATTACTCTTGTTGGGTGCTCCAACTTACAATGTTTTGGGTATATTGTATAAAATTAGCAGAATGGGTTAGTTAGTTTAGAGATATTTACATATAATACATGAGTGGAGGCTTGTTGCATTTTCCTTTCGTCAGGTGCCTAGACCTGGTTATCTGCTGTGATTATGTTTCCTTTAGAATAGGCGTATTCCATTATGGTTCTGTCGCCCCGCTGTCCGTAGTAATTCTGAAGAAGCTCTTTGAAGCTATGTGATCCCTGGAGCTAAGGAAGGGAGGCTGTGATGGGAGAAGTGAGTGGACAGTCATAGATGTAATGTAAGACGTCTGCTGAAGAAGCTGAGGCACCGCAGGCATATTTCACATTTTGATGGCAGAACCTGCTGAGGTAGGCGGGAAATCTTCCATGATTTGTGATGAAAGCTTTTTGTAGATAGAAGTCTGTTCTGAACCTCTTGGTGGAGACACGAGAAGGATGGAGTAGGTGCGTCGACCGTTGTGTGAGTTGACCCAACGAGCTTGCCAGATTGACATGAAGACGCAGAAGATCTTGTGTTTGGCAGCGACTATGGAAGGTGAAATCTCTGAATCGATGGAAGGGTGACTTGTGGCTTCTTCAGCTAAAGAGTCGGCCCTTCCGTTACCTTGGGTTCCTTGATGACTACGTACCCAGCATAGAGACATTTGTCTGGAAGAAGACAGACTAATAAGCTCTTCTTTTAATGAGGAGATGTGGAAGGCATGAATGCCGTTCTTGTTCAGGGCCTGAAGGAGCTCGTGCTGTCCGTGTGGTAAAAGTTCGTAGATGGAAAAACTGGTGTTGCTTGCCCTGAGAGCTGGCTTCTTTAGAGAGAAGGAATCAGCCTAGAAAACTGAGGCGTGGTCGCTAAGTCAAATTTTCCAGTAGCCATCTTTTTCTGAGCATTTTAAACGTATAAGGACACTTTTGTTAATATGAGTGCCAGATTTAATTTAGTCCAGGCATTCTCAACCAAGGGATTTCTTACTTTCAAAAAAGAATACGATCAGTTTTTGTATATAGGTGAATATAAAATATATGAATATAAAAAATGGGCATGGCAAAATGACAGTCCAGGCATTCTCAACCAAGGGATTTCTTACTTTCAAAAAAGAATACGATCAGTTTTTGTATATAGGTGAATATAAAATATATGAATATAAAAAATGGGCATGGCAAAATGACAGTCCAGACATTCTCAACCAGGGGATTTCTTACTTTCAAAAAAGGAATACGATCAGTTTTTTGTATATAGGTGAATATAAAATATATGAATATAAAAAATGGGCATGGCAAAATAACAGTCCAGGCATTCTCAACCAGGGGATTTCTTACTTTCAAAAAAGGAATACGATCAGTTTTTGTATATAGGTGAATATAAAAAATGGGCATGGCAAAATGACAGTCCAGACATTCTCAACCAGGGGATTTCTTACTTTGAAAAAAGGAATACGATCAGTTTTTGCATATAGGTGAATATAAAATATATGAATATAAAAAATGCATATAAAAACTCCTTTTATTCAAGTTTTGATATTTATCAACATTTTCTCTACCTTTTTGTTGTTTAATTAATAAAAACATACTAAGAATAATCTAAATCGGAGTAAATATATTGGATTGGCACATAAAGTGAAAATTCTGCGTGAAAAATAAAATGTTTGGGCAATGCATTTTGTCGTATTTGATAGAGAATTATGTGCTCTATAAAATAGTATGGTTAATTTTTTTTTATGCTGATATACTTTTTGTTCTTTTCATGTCATTAAAATGAAGGGTCAAGTAGACAACAACAGAAAAAAAAACCTTTTTTGCTTTTAATTGAGGTGCCAAAGCCACAGATGCTGTTCAAGAGATTTTTGAAGCATACGGCGAAGAAGCTATGCCTTAAAGATGGTTCAAAATTGGTTTAAGCTGTTCAGAGACGGTGATTTCTACCGTCGAGTCATTGAACAGCTTGTTGGACATTGGGAAGATATTATAAAGACCAACGGAGAATACATTATTGATTGATTTGCTGTTTCCTTTTTTAATTTATTTTTATTTTTGCAGAAACCTAAGCTTTAAAAAAAAGGGGGCCAATCTACTATAGATATATTTTGGGCCAATCTATCCCGGGTATATCTTATGGGCCAATCTACTATAGATATATTTTGAGTTTAGAAGAGGAGAGTGAATGATCTTCTAGCAATGGTGCAGTGCGTGCATGGAGAAAAAAAAAATTTAGAGCCACAGGTTTAGTCAATGTGAAACGAAACTAGAACTCTTTAAATCATGAATATTCACATTTGATTTAACATAGATTTTACGTAGTTTTGAATTATTGTCATAATATTGTATAATTTTCATATATCTGTCTTTGTAGTGAGTAACTTTTTCGTGCTTTTGTATTAACGACTTAAATATTTTTTCCCTCTAGATTACCTTCGACGAGGCTCCTGAAGATGTAAAAGAATTGGCTTCAAATGTTGTAAAAGAAGTAGTTAGTAAAGCAGTTGCCATGGCAGAAGAGGTAGTGTTGATTGTTATTTCACTGAACTGACTTTATAATAGGAAATGAGTACATTGATTATATGTCGTTTGATATATGATTTCGAAGACAACGTAATTTATATTTCATCTAAGTACCTGTTTCCAGTTCTAGATATAGCGTTGCCAAGATATTATTTTCTTGATAACAGACGCAGCTGTCGAATGTTGCATACTCCAGACATATCTTTCCCACAGTTTTTGTAAATTTTATTTGCGAAAAATGTAAGAGAAGAATAAAGATTTAGTTACTTTTAACTGTACTAAAAATTAAAGCCGAGTATTGTTAAGGCTAATTTCTTAAATATACGTTGTGGATATTCATTTAATTTATCTTATCTAACAGTTAATTTTTATTTTAAAGTAACTTTCCTTCGATTCTCATTTTCACCCACGCTTTCTTACCAAAATATTAATAAGCTAGCGCGCGTATATTCAAATGGTGTAGAAAGTAGTAGTATTTAAGGGAAAGTTTAGGAAGGTGATTTTATAGCATGTTATACTCGCTTGAACGCCACGTTGCTATCTTGCTTTCCTAACGATTAGATTTCTGTGGCATTGAACGCTTCTAGCCATGAGGCTTGATTATGCCGACTTTAGAGTCAGAGCCTTACTGCGCGTTAAATTATTCTGTGAGGCGTTAGGGTAAACTGACTACCTCTAAGTTCATTGTTACTTGTTTGGAGTTAAACCAGAAGTGTTGACTTACACTTCTGGTATACACCAGGTGGGGGCATCTGTGAAATTATAGAGTTAATAAAGGGTTCTTTACATCCTTCTCTGGAGTTTGTCATATTTAAGGCCTGGCGATAATTCTTTACCACTCTTCTAAGTCTCATTAGTTTATGCTTCCGAAGGAAACGAGATTCTGCAACAGATATAGAGTATTTATTTTATTTTTATTCCTTAATAATATAGTGCGTTTAATTAAAGCTATCTGAATTTCTTTTAACCAGAGCGTCAGACTTAAGGTATCTTGATCTACAGACAAGCCATCTATTTTCTTATCACTAAATTGATTTGTAGTCCTTGATATGCCTAAGCGAAAAACATTTAGGTGTAAGAGATAATTTTACAAGAGTTAAAAAATCAACATTTGCTTGTTGCGAAAAGATACTTTAGCTTTACCGTAATAATCAGAAAACAATGAAAATGTAACAGATGTTGAAGTTGCGCGGATTTTGTTTCTGAATGAAACGACGAAGTCGGCTTCAGAGATCAGAAGTGGTTTCAGTAGATGAAAAATACACTTACTGGTCCTTGTCGTCCATTAAAAAGAATGTCTTTTATCATCGCGTTCTTAAAGCTTTAGCATTAAATTCTAATATTAAGGTTTATATATTTTGCTTCTAGCCGTAGAAAGTCATTACGTGACCTTTATTTTCGCAGCTGTTGGTTGTAGACATATACTTCCAATTACAAAACTATTTTAATGATGCAATATTCATGGTTAGATTTTTTTGAATTTTAATCTCAGTCTTGTAAAAATTGTGTAATCTAACACTGAATACGATTCCCCGGTTCCTGTACAAATGTTTAGTTTACTCATTTTAAATATACACCACAAAAATTTGACTTTCATCCGATTGACTGCTTAATTTTGATTGCTTAAAATTGAAGAAGAATCCCCTGGTGACGCACGTTTTCCCCCAAGTGGTGCGGAGCAAAAAGAGTCTCCCACCCCTCTTTCCGTGTTACAAAACCATTCGAAAAGGCTTGGATTTTAACTTTTCCCATGCTGTATGGATACTTACTACACGTTTGAAAACATCCAAGCCTTCTCTGGGATTCAAACCCGGGTCTAATGATGGGGCAGTCAGCAACGTTAACCAGTATACCGATCAGTCATATTTAATTTTAAACCTTCATAACATATTCAGAGAGGTACAGCAATTGAGAAGCGAAATGTTTTCAAATGTACGCGACTAAACGTGAAACATCAATTTAGGGGGGGGGAGGATCTGATGTTAACAGATAAAGTCACAAGAACTGTTACGAAAATTCCGAATACGAATGAGATTATATAATCCTTATATATAATATATGTATATCCTTAATATAAATTTAAATTTAAACAAATTTAAATTCTAAACAAATACGTATAAATGTAAAAAAGTAGAAAAGCAAATTTAAATTCTAAAAAGGAAAAAAGCCAAAATAATTTAAAATAATTTAAAAAATATGCAAACATGTAAAGATTTAATTCTCGAACTAATCTACAATATCATTTAAATTCAGAAGCATAAGTAAATCAAGTGTAAAATCTATCCATGAAAAAAAATCTACTAATTTAATAAATTAAAATTAAATTAAACAATTTTAAAAAAAATGCATATGTGAATGATCGTAGAGTAGGCAGGAGACAGACTTATCAAGGGTAGGTTGCCTCCAAACCTAACTCTAATCATTCAATTCGTGTTTCGTCATTCATGCAGGCAAGGGAAAAAGTCAAAACCAAAAGTAATTCCAATAAAGTGGTACTCTTAGAAATTAACATTTAAGTATTAACATTAAAGAATTAAAGTTCAAAAAGGAAAATACTTATTAAGTCTTTTGAGAAACAAGCAAGTAAAGTCAAGAATTAAACTTTTTCATAAAAAATTAAATTTTTTAAAAATTAATATTTTATAAAATAATAAAAAAATCTAAAACCATGTATTTTATAAATCCTTGTCTACAGAAACTTCCCCTACACGAATATGCATATCAATAAAAAGAACTATGTATATAAATTCTAAGTAAAAGTAATTATAAGTAAATTAAAAAGCCTATAACTTGTATACACCCTTGCTAAAACTGCAAAGTAATAAATTAATAATTTATAATTAGGAAAACTTTTTATATTAAGCATGTTCCTTGGAGATGGTATATAAAAAGTTTTCTGATTTGAAATTATTGGTTTAGATACCGTATTTGACGGCTTATAAGACGCACTGGCATATAAGACGCACCCTTATTTAGAAGGCCACACACATGTAGATGTAGAAAAAGTTATGTGTGTCTAGATCTTTATCCGGGCTAAAAATAGCATTCAGTATTGAAAGTTAACCTGTGTCCTTCACGTATAAGACGCAGGTAACTTTTTTGAGACCAAATTTAGGAAACAAAGTGCGTCTTATATGACGTCAAATACGGTATATATGTAATATTTTGGCAGTTGGACACATAAGTGAAGTTTGGCAAACTGGTCACATCAGAATTCTGGACATTGTTGTGGCTAAGTGTAAAGCGGCATCCAATTATGACACAGAAGGATTTAAATTTATAGCTCCATATCGTTATTCAATTCAAAAGGCAGATCATCTTTCTTTACTAAATGAGATTAACTTTAAATTCACTGCGTCACAGTATTCGAACAAAGGGAGGCAGATGAGAGCAGCAGCATAGGTCTTCACAGCAGTAGAGGCAGAAAGCGGTCTCCCACGCAAAATGGCGCGAGTTCTGTATTCATACGAGCGGTTACGTAATATGCTCGAATGTTCTCGAAAGTACTGGTCTAGGGGGAAGATCCTGAAATTGCGGAAAGTTAATTAGAGGTTGCGGGTTCGCATAGAGCAAAGCCATCCTTTTTTTATATTTTACATATATGTATATATGTGTGATATCCGTAGGTGCAACACAGCCACCAGAGGGCCTCACCTATGCTCCTGCGGCGAAAGCGAGGTGAAAGAGGAGACTAACAGATAGACCGATATGGAGCCTACGAGAAGGTGGTAAGACGTAGGTCTACACGTGAAGGTGGTAACTATAGAACTGTATGTTTCCATGAGAAGGTGGTAACTTGACTACATATACGACAGCAAGTGCGAGTAAGCACTAAGCTGCTATGTTAAAAAATATGTAAAAGTGAAGATGCGGAATTTTGTTTGTATACAACTTCACCGTCATTCGATTTTCTACATGTAACCTTCTGTTATTTTCATTAAATGCCTGTGGTGTGGAAAACATTGGAATTGTTAATTTCCCTGGGATAGCATTTTCAACTTTCCGACCACCTTAAATATTAAGGAGGTTGTTATCCACAGAACCTTAAAGAATTCATGTTCTAGAAAACAGTAACAGACATGGAGCTCATTCGAAGTACTATTTACAGAAATAGTAAATGAAATAATTTTTAAGTGAATTTTTGTATGATTAATAAATTAGGATTATAAATTAATAAAAATCTGATATGTACACCACATGACTTCCTTGTACGGAATATTAAATTATACGCATTTTTTCTTGCATTTTATTTAAACTTATTAGATTGAATTAAACCTACTTCGCCGAAAGCGCATAAACCACAATAGAATGAATGCATTCTTTAAAATTCACTTTGTTTACCATAGCGACACTCTGGCGCTAGGTTTACTTAACAGTAATATATTTCATTCATATGCACAAACTCAGAATGCACAAAACTCAGAAGAAAACTCAGCTCAGAATGCACAAAATGTATATCATTTAAAGAAATATCTAATCGTTGACACATGTTCTATCAAAATATAATAAGCTAGAACTAGTATAAAAGAAAAAGCAAACAAAACAAAACAGAAACAGTTTTTCACAGACGATTGAGTATTTCTCATTAATTAATTCAGTCTCACTTCGCGAGAAGACAAAATACATAAAAACTCAATATCTATATTAAAATACGAAAGTAAATCTCAAACGCTATTCCCTCGAAAAAATTCCAGAAGAATTAAGGGATTTAATGGCAATAATAATGAATGCGTTATCTTTGTTCTTGCGAAGCTAAGTTACTGAATTGGCAACAAATCCACTAGTCTTCCTGTTTCAAATGTAAACATCAATGGCCGCCATTAAAAACAGGCTTAGCGGCAATTAAACACTTTAAAATGCTGATAATCTAAAAATATGCACAACAGATTTACTAAAGGCAAAAATCCTTAACCGGGAGATAAAAACAACATAATTCAATCATTTTAAAGCAAAAAATGTACAATTTACAAATATAATAGTAAAGAAACTGAGATCACTGACCCGGGTAATAGGTGGATATAATAAAAATATTATATACGTTGGTGCTGCCGACTGCAACCAAAATACGAGGTGACATCTACATGTTATAGCAGTCCTATATACAAAATTCAACGTTCTGAGCTACTCGTTTTGAGTTATGCGAGATACGTACGTACGTACGTACATAGTACGTTCGTACAGACGCCACGAAAAATTCTCTTTAGAATTAATTTTAAAGCAGTTTTATAATTTTTTTGAAGGAAAAGAGTATTTTATTCTGTCCTAACGTAGAGATATGACGCAAAAACATCGTTAAATTGCGTTCGATAGCGGTCAAAATGGATATTTTCGTTGAAATATGCTGCCTGAAACTTTTCGCGATTACAATATTTCATTTTTACTTCGTACAAGGAAGTAAAAAATGCATGAAAATATTATCAGTGTGTTTCAGCATTTGAAACTTTAAATATTTCTTATGTGCAAATTCTTTCCTCATACATTATGACACAAATTTTAAAGAATGTGACATTCTAGTAAATAACAAAAAAATATCCCTGAATGGCATTGAAAGGGAAAAATCTTCAGATAAATATAAAATGCAATTTAATTTAATATGAATAATTATAAATGCAATTTATTTTTTGACCGGTCCCCTAAAGACAAGAACGAAGGCTAAATCAGATATTACAAATGTTAAAATTAAATATCTCGATCAGTTTTGGTCGTACAGATGTCAAACGTGTTATATTTAATTTTTTATAATAATTATAATCTTTATAATAATTAAAACTAACTTTTGGAACCAGGGAAGGTATAAAATGTTAAGCTTCGTAATTTTTACAAACTTACATTTTAAATTTGCTAATGCAAAGACATGTATACCTGTGTCATTCGAAACTTTTTGTATCTAGAAGTATATATCGCCGACCAACGGTTCCAAATTGTAATAAATTAAATTAAATTATACCAGATATTCTAGTGCTATAGCAGGAATTCAAATTCTGTTCTTCAGCGGCTTTTTCTTTTCAGTCTAAAATACCTTAGACAGAAGTTTAATTTCGCTGAAATAATTCAATTTCAATCATTTCTTATATATATTTCTAACCATTGTTTTCTTTGACACTATATTTTAATTATTTTATATTTTCTCATAAATTCTTTTTTTTTAAATTCGATAAATGATAATGTTTTCTGTTTGTTTTACAGAAAAATGTTCCAGTGCTGCCTGTCAATTTCGGTAAGCGTACTTTTATTAAACATTTACTTGTTTCGTATTTAAGCATTTTAAAAAGGTTCGTTTTCATTGAAAATCTAGATTCAATATTAAAACTTTTCAGACGTAATACGATTTTTTTGGTTGTTTTTGTTTTGTTTTGAAAGTAAAAATTAAATTTATGATTCTAAGAAATAAATCTCAATGATAATATAAATTTCAATGATAATATTTCAAGCAGTATCCTTTAAATGTAATACAAATTTTTATATTAATTTCTATACATTTCTGAAAATTTCTTGACTGACCTGTATAAAAAATTTGATATTTTGTTGAATTATAAACAAAAAAAATGAGTTTTATATAATTTTTATGCGAAACATCACTCTCTAAACCAGAACCGACCTCAACGTCAACAGAAATATCACAAAATATTTAAAAAGAGCATATCTTTAGAATTTCCAATAGACAGTCTAGCGCGCTGGAAATAAAACTGTTTTTTTTTTTATTCGTACAGTGTTGCCACTCCTCGCTCTGAAATCGTTGAGTTTTTTAATCAAAAATTCGTTAAAGTTTTACAAAATATGGATTAAATGAGGTTGAGAAATGATGTTCTAAACAATTGTTTTTAGGTTCTTTAAGGATCCTTCTAAATATAAATATGAATATTCTTATTTACCTAATAATATTCCTTTTCCATTTGAAAACCAGCAAAGTAATTTTTCTCAAAATACTAAAATAAAGTTCAAACAAATGCTTTTCAATGCATAACAATGAAAATGCATTGAGTCTCTTACAGAGTGTATATTCTGAATATTTTCGTATTTTTACGGCAATATTTCTGTCATATTTTTCGAGAAAATATGATAGAAATTTTCATGGTATATTTGCGGACACTAAAAATGTATCTTTCGTCTGCTACATTTTAGCTGTTTTTTCATGTTTCCATAGAAAATATGAAATAAATGGGCTACTCACGGATAGTTTATTTCACATATTCCTTTCTGCATTATTATTTCTTATTATTACTTATTCATTTACTTTTACTCAAGCTTTGTATTGTATGTTTCGAAACTCACGTTTAAAGCACATTTTTTAAAGTAATAATAATTTTCTTCTGTAAAAAATTCTATCATGCTATCAAAATTAAATCTTCATTTCATATTCTCTTCCCTTAAGTAATCGGATATTCAATTGGAAAAATACTTAAATTTCTGCAGACAAAGATTTATAATTTTAATTAATTATATAATAATCACCGTTATTGCTGTTTCGTCCGGAAATTTATATTACCTTTCCTGCAGAATTATTAAGATTCGGAACCTAAAATAATTTACCGGTAATATTCCGGCGTATACTAATCCGGCGCGCACTTCTAATTTCGAACTGCATGTTTTAATTTTTAGGCGCATTCGCCATCTTACGCGCACTCATTTATTTACGAAGAAACCTGAAAGATACATGTGAGATAATCTTTTGAAGTCATTTCATTCAACGTCATTCATTTTTCACAGACTTTCGAACAATGGCAGACTGAACTGAGAAGCGATAAAGGGAAGAATATGTATATGGGAGAATTGCTTGGAGGAGTAAATATTCTGCAAAGTGGTTGGGTTGTATTCAATGCAGGTGTGCATAAGAATGCTATTCTAGGATTTGGAGAAAGGGAGCACGTGATTTGGAGCCAGAATGCACCTTCCACCTTAATGAATTCTCTGAATTAGGAATCAGATGTTTTCTCTTTCTGTAGTCATCTGAATCCTTGATTTTAAAATGAACATCGAAGGTTTAGTAAATCGCCTTTCTTTTAGTTTAAATACAGTTTATCTATTATTCCTCTTAGCAGTAAATATTGCTTCTGCGAAGCGAAGCAAACACAGTGATAGTTTCAAGGTCATTCAATTTGGGAAAGAAAATTAAGGTCCTTCTGCAACAAGGATGTTTGGTGTTGGTGAAACCCTCATACTTGCGTGGGAGAAAAATGAAACCATAATAACTAATATGCAAAATAATAAATGAATTAAAGGAGTAATAAAATGGCCTATCTTGGAAGAAATTGTTGCAAATTGGGTCCTAGTAAACCTCCAGAATGGGTTAATCATGGCAAGAAACAGCGTATCTGCTACCAACGAAATTGTAGCTTCCAACATCCTTACGGCCTTTCGGCAAGAAAGGGCCGCCTACAAGAAAGCAATTCTTGAAGCTAAAATTAACAGCTGGAGATCTTTCTGCACCAGTAACAGTAATCCATATGGAATTTTACACAAACTGGCAACGCAGAAGATCTTCCAACCAGCGCAAGTACCAGTTCAAACAACAGCACCACATACTATGGACGTAGCGGCCTCCACCGCCAAGGAACTTTTAAATGCTATCTTTCCCACAGATGATACACAAGCAGATACTTCAGAACAGAGGCAAATTAGAGAAGATACAAGCTCGCCATGCACACACCGAACGATATACAGTTTTCTGCACAGGAGATACGTAATATCTTCCGGTATCTGCCACTAAAAAAGGCCCCACGGGTCCAGACGAACTCGATTACGCAATTATCAAAGTTGCATATCAGGCACGACCATCCTACTTCCATAAATACTACAACCAGCTTCTGCATTATAAAATGTTCCCCACAGCTTTCAAAAAAGGCAATGTGGTATTATTTTTAAAAAAAGGATAAAGATCCCCCTAGTATCGAGTTCCTTTAGGCCAATTTGCCTTCTGTCGGCGATGGGAAAGATTTACGAGAAGCTCATCGTCAACAGGCTAAAATTTCATCTACATCAATACCAAAGCATTAGCCCAAGACAATTTGGCTTCAAACAAGGCAGTTCTACCATTCATGCCCTGCAGCGGATCCATGAAGTCATAATTCAGAACAAATCGCAGGGCTACCAGACGGCTTTTATATCGATAGATTTGCAAAGTGCGTTCGATACCCTCTGGTGGCCTGCCATCAGGCAGGCCCTCAGAGAGGCAAGATGCCCAAGAAATATCTTTCAAGTTCTGGACAACTATCTGGCAGACCGGCAACTGATGATCTCTAACAACAGTAGTACTGTTTCAATAACACAAGTGAGAGGATGTCCACAGGGGTCCTGTGCAGGGCCTCTGCTATGGAACCTCACCTTTAATAAAGTCTTAGAGGCAAGGTGGCCACAACATACTGTGTTAGTTGCATACGCGGACGACGCGGCATTACTGGTCAGAGGCCGCACACGCGCTGAGCTTGAAGCCCATGGCAGTGAGTCATGCACTATCTTTGCCAACCTCTGTGAAGAGCTAAAACTCAAAATATCCACCACAAAGTCCACTGCTATCATTTTTCCAAGAAAGGGTACAAATCCAACACGTAGCCCATGTATCAAACTACAAGGCCGGAATATTAAAGTCGTAAAAACTTTAAGATACCTTGGGGTAATATGGGACCCAGGTCTGACTTGGCTTCCGCATATCCAGGCACAAAAGATTAAAACATCTGCAATTGCCAGGAGATCACGACAATTCCAAGGCCGGAACTGGGGACGGAATCCCCACATTCAAAAGGTACTTTACAAAACTGTAGCTGAGAAGGCGGCAGCTATATGGGCACAACCCATGACCGCACGCAAGGTTAAAGCAACTCCTATCACTACAGCGCCCATTCGCCATAGGCTTATGCAGAGCCTACCGCACCACTGCAACTTATGCAGCACTCACCTTGGCAGGCATCATACCACTTCATATCCAAGCGGAGCTAGAGGCCACATATACTAAAATAATACATCTACAGAAAGACGCAAACCTTTGCAGGCACCTTACATAGCCCTGCAAATTACGAACATCCATGTACTCCTCCACTCCTCCACACGCACCCAGCACACAAGGGACTTGGCATTCACACTGTCCTCAAAACCGTCACGAAGTCAACCAGAAGGAAACCCTAATATGCACGCGTTCTACACAGATGGCTCGAAAACTGCTGAGGGTGTAGGTAGTGCCTTTATATACTACAGGCAAGGCCATGCTGCACACCATTGGAAAGGGCACCTCAATCCAAATAATAGCATTTTTCAAGCAGAAGTAGTTGCCATAACAGCTGCCATTGAATACGTGGCGCTCAACAACATCACACATGTGCAGCTTTATACAGACAGTATGTCGACACTGCTTGCTCTTGACAAACATAGTCACGCCTCCCCGCTGATCATACGACTGCAGCATATCCTAAAAGATAATCGGCACGCACATGTTGACCTAGTATGGATTAAAGCCCATGCAGGTAACATGGGTAATGAGACAGCGGATGAACTCGCTAAAGAGGCTGCTTCGAACCAAAATGCCAGACCGATATCAGTATCAGCACCACCATCTTTCCTCAAAAGTCAACTGCGAAATGCCGCTATATCCAGTGGTGGCAAAGAGAATGGGATCAGGGCGACACGGGAAGGAGAGCGCATAGCTTCTTGCCAAAAGTAACCACGGAGCGCCTTATGGCAATTGCTCCCCTTACCAACTTCATTACTGGTCATGGTCCCTTCCCTTCCCGGATTACTTCTACCGCCGCACCATCTCAACCACGGATGGCTGTGTTTGCGGGGGTGAGGGGTCACCGGACCATTATATCTTTCAGTGCCCCACTCACGGAACAGTTCCACTTCCCGATATTACCAGCCAATATCTCAGCATTTCACAAGTTCCTAGCCAAAAACAGAGCGGCCATAAATAAAATCTGCAAAATAATAACCACCATTGCAGCATATGGCCAGGACCTCTGTCAACCAGAGTAATATGGCTTACATGCATTACTTGCACTGACATATGCACTCTAATGCTCTACCATCTAATCTCTGACTGCATAGGGAGCAGAAGAAAATTGAACACCATATTTAGGTGTTTAATTTTCTTCTTTTGTTATAACCTATTAAGTGTTTTGTTTTTTTTTAACCGTGCCTGTATGTTAATTCAAATGTACTTCAAATGCCAGATGTCAAACAGTTGCCCCTGTATGGCCATGTATCCACACTTATAACTATTAAATAAACTCCAGGGGAGGACGCGGGACATATGCCTGTTAACCTCTGTTAAACTTCAGGCGTCCCCGTCCTCCGTCACCTGTCACCTGCCTTAAAGTGGGCAATAAAAGCATAGAATGAAATTACATACGACATAATTCAAAAGTCGTTTAAAAAAATGAATATATCTAACATTCTAAATGGAGTGGAAGATGATGATGATGAACGAAAGATGATTATTATTGTTATCTATAAGATTAACATTGATGGTGAAGATGAAACAGAATTCGTTGATGTGCTTGAAAATATAACGAAAGACAATATGACGAATGCTATCATCTGATCATGAAAATTTTTTAAGTTCATAAGGTTGTAGAGTCATTAGGTTAATTGGAAGCAGAAAAGATGAAAAATATGCAACCGCTTTCGCCGGGAATCGAACCACGGACCTCTGGAATACCGGCCCAGCGTGTTACCGTTACACCACGAAGGCACGCTAGGGAAGTGGGAGAAATACGAGGGCCATCCAGGAAGTAGATTACGTTTCCGTCTGTGTCCGCTAGGGGCGGGGCTAGCGCGGCCATCTTGGGGTCAGAGCGTTGCGCAGCTCAGTCTGCATCTAGCCGTGCTAGTGAGAGGTTCGTGCTGTGCTCCGTTCAGATACTGTGACGGTTTGAAATGTCTGCGTTAATTGAAAATCCCGCGAGCTGCGAGGTGCGCTCAGTAATAAGGTTTCTGACTGCAAAAAACTGTAAACCGATAGAAATCTATCGGCAGCTTCGTGAAGTGTATGGGGACAACATTATCACTGAAGGTGGAGTGCGTCAGTGGGTCATAAGATTTCAAAATGGCCGAACCAATGTTCACGACGAAGATCGAAGTGGGAGACCCAGCATAGTGACCGCCGAACTTCTCGAAAAAGTCGATGCTAAAGTCCGTGAAAATCGAAATTTCACAATAACGGAACTTTCTTTCTTTGAGTTTTCCTCCACAAATTTCGCGAAGTTTGTTGCACGAAATCATCAGCGAAAAGCTTGGTTACCACAAGTTTGTGTGCAAGATGGAAGGCAAGAAGAGGTAACGAAGTGGTTGAAGGCGCAGGCGGCCGAATTTTTCGACGAAGGAATTTCCAAGCTCGTACATCGCTACGATAAATGCCTTAATTTGTATGGTGACTATGTAGAAAAGTAGTATTTGAGTGTAGCTTTCATCTGTATATAATAAAATTTGTTTCCTATACTTTGTTTATTTTTTTATTCCAAAACGTAATCTACTTTCTGGATAGCCCTCGTAACTTATATACTCCCTTTTTTAAAGGGTGTCTAGGGTTTTAGGGGACCTAATCGCCAATCCTGGGTTGCGGAAGCATTCATCATCCACCCAACCTTTTTAGTTCGGGCGCCACTTGTAGAGTCATTAGGATTAATTGGAAGCAGAAAAGATGAAAAATGTGCAACCCTCTTCGCCGGAAATCGAACCACGGACCTCTGGAATACCGACCCAGCGTGCTACCGTTACACCACGAAGGCACGCTAGGGAAGGGGGGAAAATACCTTATAGGGTAAGTCATTTCTTTTTAAATAAACGTCTAGAAATCTTAGTAAGTACATGTAGAAATCTGATTTCTGTATACTCTTCTTTTCCTTGTTTTTAAAATCTATGATTTTCATATTCTCTATATAACACGCACCTGTAAATTTCGATCTTAATTTGTGTATTAAAAGTGCTCGCTATATGCCGAAATATACGGTAATGTAATTTTAGAATCACGAGTTTTATATTTTTGTATAATAAACCAGTGCTCTAGAAATTTCAACGAACGACATTTAGGTGAAGAGACTAAATTATAAGAAGATTAATCTCAGCAACGTTGATTTCTAATTAACTTTCTTCTCCCACTATTTTTTCTTTGAAGGGGTTTGTTTATATAGTATACCTTTCTATTACTGAGGAAAGCGAAAGACTTGTTCAGGAATGCTTGGCCTGTTTGACTTAGGCTTAAGACTTAGGCTATTATAGTTTCTCTCGGTTCTACCAGATGGAACCAAAATGACTGCATTCAAGTTCACCAAATGAACCTTAATATATATTTTTAAAGTTTCTGTTTTGGTGTTAGATTGGGAAGAAATCATAACTGATTATTCCGTATCAGATTTACATAAAGAATAAATATTTCTTTTCTGTTGCAGTTTTTATTAAACAGTGTCAGTATCTATATTACTAGGAAGGAACTGCTAGTTGTCCGTCGTTGTTCCTTTACGGTGAAAGACGATTAACCGTTTGCGGCACAGTGTGTCCGATCTGGACACACCTAAAAATTTCCTTCTGTACGCACAGAAAAATTGAATGAAAAAGGATTTATAAGTTACTGTAGGTTACTCTGAACCTTTTTTATTTATAGTAGATGGCAGCTCAACACAAATCAGTCCATATATTTTAGCCATGTTTAGTTTTTTAAGACAATTTTTCAAAGAAATCTTCCAGATTTTTTTTTAGAGTATAAAAGGAATTGTTTGAAAAACATTTCTGTTATTTTTTAGGCTGTATGCTAATCTCCTTATTCTACTATATTAGTTTTAAATTTTTACCTTGAAATCTTGCCTAAAATCAAACGGCGAACACTAGGTGTGCCCAGACCAGGCTCACCGATAATCTAGGACAACTGCGAGTCTGTATTCTTTGTTTCTCCGCATCTCATCGGGCAGTTCATTGACAATAATGCTCGTTTCAGCAATCTTTTTGAAGCTCTATTCAATCAGTGTGCCATTTTGGGCACACCCACAGAATTAAAACGATAAGTGCTATCTTCACAAAATTTTACTTGTGTACTCCTCTAGGCCTAATTAGACTGCCTACTTTTTTTTTTTTTTTTTTTTTATCAAAATTCCGACTTTAAAAGGTAGCGCGCCGGAAAGGGTTAAACTATCATTTTTGTAATGTAGAACAATACATACGATCTACCCTAAATCTTTCCACATTTTGTGCACATTATTTTAACATTTTCGGAGGGAAAAAGGTGCCTTGACAGTTCTTACTGCCCTTTCAGTTGTGTAATGCCAGACAAAAGAAAATCTCTTTAGCGCAAAGATTTTAAATTAAACATCAGATTTTAATGTTTAAAATATCATCACAGACGCCTGTTTTTTTAATAACTACTGCATTTAACCTACCGAAATTGAAGTAATTCGTATATAACATATTTGCTCCTTGAATAAGAATCTAACGTGCTTCCTGGTGTAACTGGAAGCAAGTTAGATTCTTATTCGAAGGCCCGGCAATGGCAGTCTTTTGGCAATGGCAGTCTTTCTTCAGTCTTTTGGCTTCAATAAATTCTAAAAGGACTTCTGCAAGTGGCGCCCGAACTAAAAATGTAGTGGATCACCACCAGGATTTGGCAAGTGGATCCCTAATCCCCAGCTGCCTTTAAAAGGGGAAGTATGCAGGGGTCCCTAAGAACATATTCTAGAATATCTGTTGGATGAAGAACACCATTTTCTTTTTCAAAGTGAATTTATAGTTGGATGAGTTAATAATACATGCACATAAAAAAGAGATCTGTCGCATTTCGCTTTGTTCTGGTATTTGTGTTGGACGCTATTTGTATTTCATTAAAAGTGAGAAAACTTTCATATAGAATTTTATTGAAAGCTAAAACATTTTTAAATTGTGATCGCATAGCGACGGGTACACTTTAAACGATCGGCGGGCGCTATGGTGCCCGCGGGCATAGGGTTGGGAACCCCTGATATAAGGTATATTCTCCCTTCTTTGTGTAACTGGAAGTATGCTCGACGTGTATTCGGAAAGTTCGATTTTCCATCCCCTCGAGGGCAACTGCACGTTTTTCGCGTTCCTGCATCGATATAACTTAATAACTCTACGTGTAATATCGTATATAATCCTCGTAGACAGAAGTCTTTACGTTTCATGGAGGGGATGACCATTAATTCTCAAAACTCAAAATCAATAATCTGAAAAAAATTACACAAATATCATATTAAAAAAGAACATTTTATGTAACATCTCACGCAGGCACAGATAAGAGTTTTTAAATACTTGATTACTTGTGAACTTACTTATTACTTATATTTATTGTAATAATAAGTGTATGTATTATTTAATATAGTAATACGAGTGAATATTATTTCATATAATATGCATATATACATATATTGCCGTTAACTTAATATACTTTTCTAGAAGAAGTGGAACACATCAAGACTACCGGTCCGTGGTACATAAGATTCCGAGAAACCTTGGTGAGGGTCCTTCGCACAGCTTGCTTCTGCGCGCCTCGTCGGAACGATTCTTGAGCGTGATTTCTCCAAGTTCGCTCTTCAATGTGCAAGTCAAGTGTACACGCCGCGAAACCTCGAAGTTCCCAAAGCTACATACATCCATTAACGGAACCATCCATTGCGTTCTTGTACCCACTGTGTGTTCTATGGAACTCCTTCATCTAGTAAATGCCTCATTAATCTCCTTCTGTAGTACCTGCCGTGTCTTTATGTGAATGCTCATGGAATACGATGTTGTGAATTAATTGGTTCTTAACTGTGTCCATGTCTCCATCTGTATATTTCGAAGAACTTGTCCCGAATCAAGTTGATATGGATATTTAACTCAAGCATTCTGGCCCGAGCAGATGTAGAATTGAAACAAAGGCTTCGTGATCCGAGAATCAATGAGAGATTCCTGGGGTATGAAGCCGAAGTTAAAGTATTCTTCGTGGATTGTTCCATGGATTAAATACAAGGAGCTTCGATTATTACTGTGAGATTGAATTAGTTGAATGTAACATTGTACATGAAATATTTTCTTAAAGAAAATTATATTTGCCATCTAGGTTAAATACCGCAAACTAAAAATAAATAAGCGAATAGAAAGATATGCGTAGTCAAAGCAGGATAGAATTTGTAAAATACTAAAGAGATGATTTAAAATGAACTTTTCCTCGGTTGATGTGAAATATTTGTTTCACTGCACAGATATTGCACTTGTACTATGGACAAATTTCTGTTTTTTAAAGAAGGTCTAGGTGTTTTATAGTTGTTGTTGACTGAAGTATAAATCTTGTTTATTGAAAATAATTATAAGCTTCATCTTACGTCATTATCATTCAAACAGTGCTTATTTGAATGCAAGCCGTATAACAGGTGGCATGTAGTTCATATCAGGTGCAATATAGAACTATAAGTCATTGCTAATTATTCCCGAAACATTGAACCTGATGTTCTATTGAATTTTTAAATGTGGGAATTAACTATAAGATTATAATTTTTCTTAAAAACGAAAGGTATTTTGTTGTAAATCGCAAAACTTACTTTATGTGAATGACGATAAGAATTTTGTGTTCTGAAATTATAATCATTGAAATGTTTGAACACTTACCTTCAATCGTAATGTTTTTCATTAGCTATTTTGCTTTTTTAAACTGTTAAAGTATATTTTTATTCTAAATATTTTAACAAACAAAATGAATCTTGAAAAATGATCAGCAAATTGTGATATACTTGCAGTATTAAGTGCCATCGGAAAGTGGGTATTGTAATGAAGAATATAAAGTTAATATTTTGTCTTATTTTCTGAAGGTATATTGATAGTGGAAGTACCTGGCTTTTTGTTTAAACTTTAAATAACACTGGTATATTTTATTTATTGTAAGTATTATGTATCCTTATTCTCTAGAAATATTGGTTTTGGTTTGTTATTATAAAGTTGCTCATTAATGCATTAATTATAAAGTTGCTCATTTTTTTCAAAAATTATTTAATATTTGTGACGGAAGCTGTCTCATTTTTTTTTCTTTCCGGAACGTGTAATCTGGAAAAAGTGGTATTGCTGTGTCTTCTGTTCTTGTGTTATATTTATTTCTGTAGTAAAAAATAACTTATTTCTATGCTTGAGCAATATTCGTCGACTCCTTGGCTTGTCAAAAATTCGCTGATATCTTCTAACTCTCCAAAACTTGGCAAAAGTTTACAATCGGGTGCCCCTTGTTTTTGGCGATTCTTTTTTGATGCCACGATCAGCGCCAGGAAGGCACAATTTCAAGATGGCCGCTACATAAAACCAAAATAAGAAGTCAAAACATTGCACAAGCTCTGTGTCCATGTGCACATCGATTTGCTTTCACTTAAAAAACATCCTACGATTGCACAAACTAGGCATTGCACACTGCCTTAAATTTGTCCATGTACATCAATCTATTTTCATTTAAATAAAATCAGGAAGCTAAAACACAGTTAAAACTATCATGGTAACCAGAAAGGAGGTTTCATCGCCAAAATTTTTAAAAAAAAGTTGTCGCTAATCGAAGGAGCACCCAATTCTACACTAGAGCCCAAAACTTAACCATTATCTGCCTGTTGCTATATCGGAAATGGTTTTGGTAATGTAAAAAATTCACTTAAGCAATACTTTATATACTATATACATTGTATACTGTATTCATACAACAAAATGAGCATAAACAGTACAGAAAAGAATGTTACATACAAAATTACATGAAAGTATAAATTGTATTCACCGTATTATAGTATACTTGATACTATAATTTACCTTTTTTTTTAGTGTTATATCATTTTTTGTACATTTTATTTCAGTAAATGGTAAAACTGACTAGTATCTTCTCAAATTTTAAATATTCGTGACATACGCAGTCTTTAACATGATAATGAAGACATAAAAATCTTTAACATGAAAATGTTTCCGATATTTCTAGGCTAAATGTTTCTTGAGGAATGTAAAATTGCTTCAAGTCTATATATTTATTACATAACGTGCGCATACAACTAGAGGCGCTCATTTTTAACCATCGTTATTCAAGGGTCAATTATTTAACTCAGTTCCATAGTTTATCCCGATCCATATATGTTTTTCACTGTTTATTTTTTAATATGCAAGGTCACTGTTTATTTTTTAATATGCAAGGTGGTCATAAAAAAACTTCGATATATGAACCCATAGCGGCCTATCCGCCAAACCAATAAAAATGAAATTTTCAGATACTGTCATTTGAAGGTATGTGCTCGAAATTGTGATGACAGACAGACAGACAAAATAGACAGGTGTCTTGTTTTGCACCAGCTAGGTCTTTCTACTCCGATGGGCGAAAAATCAAGCTTAGGTGCGAAGAAAAGGTATATAGAAAGGGTGCAATTTCGATTTCCAGTGGAGAGTAAAAAGAACTTCGTATTGTTTTATACGAGTTCAAAAGGCCTGGAAGAAAAATTGGTACAAAATAAATTTAAAAATAAATGGCCCATAGTAGTTTAGAGGAGAAAGGAAAGGATTTAAAAAAAGATGGTCCTCAAAAGGAAGAGAAGTATAAAATATCTTGATATGTTATAGCGTCCATGAGTGTGTGTGTGTATGGATGTATCAAAAATCGAAAAAATAAAATAAAAAAAACCACCTCTGATTAGGAATGTAACGTGAAGTAAACAAAATTAACCTGAATTTGGAATATATAGATACCCTAGCATGATTTTGTAAAATCATAATAGCATATAAAGCATATAAAGGAGATTTAGTTTTGTAACATATAAGGTATATAGTATATCATATAATTTTGAGCACCACACAAGACAAGGATTTAAAACAATAGAGCTCTCACAATTACGGTTACAGGGAAAACATTTCGAAATTTTTGAATGGCAACACCCAGTTTGTTTCTTGTGCAAACTGATCGGCACATTGAAAACTCATAAATGGCGTTGGAAAATATATGTATGATGAAAACTGCTTGCATAAAGCATTTGCGAAGAAGAGCGTTGTAAAGGACTAATATTAAGAGAGGAAAGGAAAAAAACTTTGATTGGAATTACAACTTTTCAACGGGTGATAACGCATTGCATGCTGGAGATTGTGACGAACTATAAGTTCACGTTTTATGCCATCTTTCAATTCTGTTATATCTCGTGGATTTTATGTGATAACCCCAGACCCAGAAATCCATCGGAGTTAAGTCGATTTGTCGCGGTGGATACAAAACTGCAAAGTTATGGGAGATGATTCCATTTTGAAACGTTGTGCGAATTGAAAACTTGTAATTCTAATGCAAGTTTTTCCCCCTTTCCCTCTCTTGTGTTGTCATTGGTCCTTCAACATATATTTATGTTCAGTGGCTTTATTGTGAAATTAAAGGTGAATATTTTTTTTCCTCTTAAAACAGCTTAAAACTGAAGGACTCTTTTATAAGTCAGGTCATCTCATTTAAGAGACAATATAATATACAGGAACTCATATTAAAAATTTTAATTATATTTATTGCAAAACCATATTTATGTTCTCAAATTATTTCAAAAATATCCTTATTTCAAGTTATTTCTTAAACGTTGTTATTTTGTTACATTCAGAAGCTATGTAAAGTACCATTCTTGAAAGTGCTTGCTTCTTTGTGTGTATAATATAATCTTCTTATGAAATTCTTTCAGGTAAGTGAAACTGATTCTAAAATAGAAAACAAATATACGTGAAACCTTAGATTGTGTTCCTTATTTTATCATCCTACGTTTATAAACAAAGTAAAGATGTTATTTGACGTTGCCACAAGAGCAATTTTTATTTTTATATCAATTTAACCATGTATGTATTTTATTCGAACTTACTTTAAGTTTAAAGTGTGCGTATATTTGATTTATCAGCATTAAAATTTATGCATATTTTTTTTCTTTTGTAATGTTATGAAATAGGTATACGTATGTATTATTTTTGTGTACTATTTTAACCTGATTTTGCAGTTTTAGCATAAGTTAGTTGTGGTGTATAAAAGAGAATGTGTATGTCATTGTAAATGTCGTCTGATAATTGCCTATTCCATTTATTATCTTTTGTTTGTTTTCTATTCATTATCTTTGGCAGCAGAATTGTTCAGATATAAAGTTCAGTATGCTTCATAAGATATTAGTCTCACGTTTAAAAAAACGTTTAAAAAAATATGAAAATTAATAAAAAATTTCTGTAATTATGGGTAAAAACTATTATATGATTGCTAATTTCTGGAATATTTAAATCAAAGCCAAGAGAAATTTTACTTTTCTACGAATAGTATATGTTATTAAATTCTGCTTGGCATTTGTTCTAGCAATATGCAAAAATGCAAGATATAAGGACACCATTTTTGCATTGAAGGGAAAAAATAAGGAATTCTGTTATGCCAGAATTCTTTGCCATTATATTATTTAAACAAATGTTATTACGGTTTGCATTTTAGCATACTTTGATTTTTTTTAGATTTCTATAAATATTTTATTTCTTAGTAATGGCAACGTATATTCTTATACTCTAAGTTCTTAATTATTATCATATGTTGAATTAATAGCTTTATAAATACAATAGAAGAACGTTTACACATTTTCTAATATTTTCCATATTCATTAATTATAATTATTGTATTTTGTAATCATTCATAAATTATATCTTTTGATGTCAAATGTAATACATTTAATAAATATATTTAATCATGTTTTTAATGAAAAGTAAACCTTTCCTTGCATCCATGTTTCGATTGCCAAAAAGTAAAAAACGGCAGCTGAGATGTAACGTAAGATTCCTTCTTTCATTATATTTCCATGCACTTAAAAATTTAATATACATTTTTCTTCTAACTTATTTGAATATAATAAGTATTGTTTGCCCATTTTTCATTCTAATTTATTCAAAAATAGTAATATCTGAAATGTAAATATATATTTAACGTTTTAAAGATTCTGTTCATTTTTAAACAATATATTCTTTTCGAATATGTAAACAATAACAAAAGAACATCTTAAAATGTTCTTTGAAGACACAATTTGAAATCTACCGTGTTTTTAATATCCAACGATCTTTCATCTTTCTTTGATCCGCCTATGAGCTACTGGCTCGTGAGCATCTCATACTGTATTAGTGTATCAAGAATCTCAAATGCAGTCGATTCCGATTAATAGGTTCACTAATTGATTTCGATAGTTACTTTTATACCAAAATCTTTATAAACGTATGCTAAATTCACATGTAATCAGAGTTTTCTTCACTTATTGGGATAATATACGATGATTAATTTTACTACCATGCACAATGAGATGATGTTTCTCTTCTAGTTCTTAGACGACCTTTAGCATCCTAAAACTTTAACTTCATCAAACATTTTATTTTGGTGCTTTCAAATTTCAGTTAGTGATGCTAATACCTGTCAAAAGGTGTAGCAATTCATTATAACTATACTTATTAGAACACTTCCCATATTTCTGAAGCAAATAGTTCCCAGTCTTACCAAAACTCATAAAAATCTCAAACTAAAAAACTCAATGTCATTAGAACTCTATTTTTAAAGCATAACAAAATATGCTTTAATTTACAGAAAACCAAAGAGCGTGTACATTAATCCGTTAAGAAATATTATAATTTTGAGACTGTATCCACACTATCTGCACAAATACTTTATATATATGTATATATATATATAATAAAATTCCATAGTCAAGAATACACTTAAAATTCTAACTGTATGTTCTTTTCATTTTTAATGGCGATGTTCTCTTATTTGAAAGTACGTGGAATTAAATCCACAGCCCCGTAGTCAAGTTGTTTTTCCCGCTTTTTCTACACGTACAATTATAGAATGTTCTCGAAGTATTTAAAGCGAACTGGATTGGCTGACGAGGCTGACGTCATTTCTTGGAAGCTTCGCCTTTCCAGAGACTATAAAGACTGGCAAAAGGAATATCGGGGCTTTTTCTTAAATGTCACGAT